GTATCTTTTCATATATAATGTGCAGAATATTCATATCTGAATACTAGAGATCTTGAATGGTACTTTTTCAGTCCCGTGGACAGAAAGTACGGAAATGGGTCTCGTCTTAATAGAGCAACCGATAAAGGCTATTGGAAAGCGACAGGAAAAGATCGCCCTGTCCGTCACAAGTCTCAGACTGTTGGCATGAAGAAAACACTTGTTTTCCATTGCGGGCGAGCTCCTGATGGAAAGAGAACAAATTGGGTGATGCACGAGTATAGACTCTCAGATGCAGAGTTGGCGCATGCTGGGGTTGCTCAGGTAAAAAATGAGTCGTTTTTATAGAGTAAAATATATTTCTGGGAAAATGACAGTATGACACTTATATCTCTCGGATATGGGGAGATATCAGATTTAGTTTGTCATTTAGTGTCACCACTTTTAGCCTTTGAAAAAAATAAAAGATCACATGTAAAATTACAAATGATTAAATTCACTGCTTTAAGGGTAACTTGTGGGCTAAGAGTGGCGACCAACCGAGTGACTAAATCTTTTATTTTCCCTTTAAATGAAGGACCAAAAGAAATATTTTTTGCATATCTTTCTTGGAATCAGCCTCTCTACCCTAAGTGGGGTATTTTGCTAGTTTGTTGTTGTTGTTGTTGTTGTTGTATATTTCTTGCATATGTCATACCACTCTGAGACTTGAGAATCTCAAATGTTACTTGTTTTTGTTGGTGTGTGAGGAAAAAGAATGCATTTGTGCTCTGTAGAATTTTCCAAAAAAGTGCCTTGGGACCTCCGACTGGTGACAGATATGCACCTTTTGTCGAGGAAGATTGGGATGATGATTCTGCTCTTGTGGTTCCTGGAGGAATAGCCGAGGACGATTTGGCTAATGGTGATGATGCACCAGTTGAAGGCAACCATGTCCAGGTTTGTCACTTCAACGAGTCGGTTTTGCTCTTTGTTTTGTCTGTTTGAAATCTTGATCATGTGTACCCCTTGCCGGTGCGTTTACATCTTAGTATGTAGCTTGTGTGTTTTATCTTCTTTGGGTTTCTTCGTTAGTGTCGGTGTGTCTGATTCATGTCTTTGAGCTCTTACTTTTCTCTTTGTTTGTGCTACTGTGTTTACATTGTTTGTGCTTCTATGTTTGAGTCAAAAGTCCCTTGGACACAACCTCTCTACTTTCGAGTAGGGGTAAGATCTCCTTACACACACCCTCCTCATACCCTACTTTTTGTGGAATTGTACTGGGTTTGTTGTTGTTGTTGTACCCCTTGTAACAAGGGGAAGGCTACGCTTGCTTTACTACTACTAAAATATTGGCCATAATTGCAGGGTGACGAATGTAAGGCTCCTACGAGTCCGGTTGTCGAACCCACATTGTCACTTCCATTTGCTTGTAAAAGAGAGAGATTCGAAGAGGATCCCGAACCTCTCTCTTTGACCCAAAGCAAAAGGTGCAACATAAACGATGGTCCCACCTCAAGCCACTTAAACGGTTCAGAAGATTCAACCACAACAAGCCATGACCCACTAACCTTGACGATGACGATGATGACGACAAATGACGACTCCCAACCCACTCTCTTGGAATTCCCTTTGTTGGAGAACCGAACCCCCACCATTAATGCCACCTTTGATTCATCCACGCTCGAGAAGTCCGTGCCTCCCGGGTATTTGAAGTTCATTAGCAACTTGGAGAAGGAGGTCTTGAATGTGTCCATGGAGAGGGAGACTTTGAAGATTGAAATGATGAGGGCTCAAGCCATGATTGACATTCTCCAATCGCGCATCGACCTCTTCAACAAGGAGAATGAGGACCTAAGGAGGGTTGCCGGAGGAAGGGGATGATGATGATCACTCATGCACCCCACCCCTTGTTAGCAAAATGCTAGTTTAACCCCAAAGATGACACCAAGGTTGCCACTATCATAGAATTGTGATAGTAGCGGTGTTAATTTTGATGTCACCCGTGGTGTGGTTATAGCACGATCTTTGTTCTTATTTTGTAGGTTTTTTCTATCACACTCTTCGCATTTCATGTGATTGCCACCTCTCCTAATCGACTAGTCTCGATGAGGAGTGGGACATCAATGAAACATGAAAAGTGTGATAAAATTGAAATTTCTAATTACAACTTTTTTTCTCTATAATAATGTCGATCATCTGAGATGACGTTCTATACCGTCTTCAGAAAAAGTGGAAGACGAGTAAAGGGATGCTGGATATGTTCCTATTTTTGTTAGACAAACTTTGAAATACTATCTTTTGTGTAATGTAAATGAGGAAATCAGTAGAGCTGTGAATATATGTTGTACCACAGCTTGTTGGTTAGGTTAAAATACTCCCTCAGTTTTTTTAGTTTTTCCCTTGAAGCATTGGGTGGAAATGGTCAACTAAGATTATGTTCTCTTAACTTGATCAGATTGAAATAAGTTCTAACTTAATTTGATTATAGTTATATTTAAATTATTTCCGATTTGATTTGAATTGAATAAGAACAAATACTTTGTTATAAAAAATAAAAATAAGTCGATGAGAATATGACTGAACTTGTGGTAATATTTCCTCCATCTAGATTCTAAAAACAAGAGTATAATTTTGAAGCAACTTTTTTTTAATGGTAATATACAGTTTAAACAATTATATGTTAGATTTCACCCTTCAAAAATATGATACTCCCTAAAATTTTGAAAGTCTTATTTTTTGACTGCATGTTTGAATCATTGTTAATTTGTTATTGACTATTGTAATAAAAAAATTACTCTGTACTTCTAAGAGTATTAATATAAAGAATAAAGTGAATAAAATTTGGATTGAGCAATTGGAGGGATACGGGGGTTCGTTAGGGCCAGATTGGCGGGGGATTTACGGGGGTTAGGGGGTAAAATGTCAGCTTTGGAATCAAAGCCAATTGATTTGGTGTTTTAATTTACACGAAATAAATTGTGTAAAATTATTCTTCTCGAGATAAATACTCTATACTTGTTTCTGTGTTCTCTTTTGATTTTTTTTATAATCTGAGCTCTTTAAAATGGCAGAACTAAATAGTTGGTATGTGTATGATTATTTGCATAACAAACACTGAGTAAAAAAGTCATAAAACATGCAGATAAAATTCTATGAATAAGATTTCAATTATCGTTCAATGTAATTTTAACAATCAAGAAAGTTTATCAAAGACATTGTTGAGATTGAATTTTACCATTACTCCCCCTTGTTCGGGAAAATTGAGTGGCTTCGAAACCCATTTTCTTCCGGAATTAGGTCATTAATCTAATGTGATTTTCAAAATGAGGTGTTCCAAGCAAGCTAAACATGTTAAACTTTAGTTTAAAAAAACAGGTGAATTTAAAAATATACAGGGTGTTTTGGATTGATAATTTCCAAGTGCTCATTTTTTATTTTGTACATAAGAGAAATAAGAGAGAATCTATTGTACAATTTGTTCGCAGAGATACACCTGGCAAATTCTTCATTGCATCTCTACTCTTTGCCTTCACTTCTTTGGTGTGATGTGAATAGAACACCGGGATGTAAACATATATTCGGGTGTATGATAGAATTTGAGGAGAAACAACTAATTGATACTCTTTCCGTCTCTTTTGAATTTTTCCACTTTGAGTCATTGACAATCATGATCAATTTTTTTAAACTTTGACTATAAATTATGAAAAAATAAACCAAATTACGATATAAATTTAACGGTGTTGCTAAATCTAGTTTTAAATTTTCCTAAATCTATCCCATTTATGATAAATTGACAATTTTAACCTTAAAATGCAATAGAGAGTGTTTTGATGCAAACCAATTTGTAAGCGTAAAATTGAGAATTTATAATAAATTGAATAGATTTAGCCCAAATGAGAGTAAGGATAGCAACATCTTAAATTTAATATCAATAAGTTCATTTTGAAATATTATATTCTTCTAATATATCTATCTATAAATAAAAAAATTAATAGTCAAAATATTTCATTGAAAATCGTGAAAAATTAAATGAGAAAATTCCCTCATAGCATCACGAATGGAGAAGAAAAATGCTATAATATTAAAGGTTTGCATGTTCTTATACTAAAATTTGATCTTATGCTAAGTAATAGGTTTTTGTAAGTATCAAGTGCAGACTTTTTTTTGTAAAAACCAAATTTATCTCCTCTCGATAATCGTTTGATCAAATTTAAAGGGCCCTCTGAGATGGATTCATCCCTTAAAAAAATAAAATTGATCTCGAATGGGTATGATATTGTTAGCTTATAAGCTAAATTAGCCATTGCACCATGTATTTATACATGTCCATTTTGCACATGCTATAAACAAAAAATAAAAAATAAAAATTGTAGACCATTTAGGGGCTGGTTGTTTCAGCCTCTTAATGGTTCAGATGTCTGAATGGTTCAGCACTTAATGGTTCAGACTGTTTGTTTCAGCCTCTTAATGGTTCAGATGTCTGAATGGTTAAGAGATTTGCCTCTAAATGGTTAAGTATTATACAGAGTCTGAGTGGTTAAGACCTTTTATCTGAATTGATCAGACATTTGCCTCTGAATAGTTAAACAATATACTAGCTTTTAATGGTTCAGACCTCTTACTGGTTCAGCACTTAATAGTTCAGATCTCTTACTGGTTCAGTACTTACCTATTCAGAAGTTGCCAAATAACCTCTTAGAATAGTAGACCATTTGCATAATACAAAAGTACTACGTACTAGGTAGCTTCTTGTATGCGTGTACCAAAAAGCCAATACGGATAAAAACTATTTGTACTCCATTTTGTTCATTGTAGGAATGTACCAACATTTTGTGTTGGTGTATTGATAATTTTTATTAACGCACCAACACTTTGTGTCAGTGTAAATTTGTGTTAACATATCAATACTTTATGTCAGTGTGGACCATCAAAATGTTGATGCATACCATTGACGTACAAATGAGGTAGAGATTTTGAGATAGATGGAACATGCTCCAGCCAATAATAATAGTCCAATACCAATGTTAGGTGGTAGTATAGGAAGAAGTGTCTCCTTCCTTTTCCTTTTCCCAGGTCTACACGGCACAGCCACCGCCAAACATGCTCTCCGTCTTCTCCAGAAACCTATAGTTCTCTCTCGCTCTCGCTCTCTCTCTCTCTCTCTCTGAAATTCAAACCCTAAAACCCTACCCAAGCTGATCGAACACCGGAGAACTGTGTGCTAGATTCATGGAATCAAGAGGATCGTCGCAGCTATTGGCGCCGGGGTTCCGGTTTCACCCCACCGACGAAGAGCTCGTCGTCTACTATCTGCAGCGCAAGATCCGCTCTCTCCCCCTCCGCTTCGATTGCATCTCCGAGATCGATATTTACAAGGTCGAGCCCTGGGATCTCCCAGGTACACCCTTTTCGAACTTTCTTTATCTCTCTGCCTCTTTACACCCGCACGCGATTATGAGTCCTGGTGAACTTCTAGTTTCAGATGCCATGATTTGAGCTATATTTTCCTCTTCTTTTTTTTTGCGAGGGATTGATGAGTAATTGGTTGGAGCTTAGGTGTAATGGGGTAATCTAGAGTTATTGATGTATGTATGACTTTTCAATTTGAGGTTTTTATCATGTGAGAAATTAATTAATGTGGTAGGATTTTATTCATTAATGTTCTTTTTAAAGTCTACAGTGTAGTGTATAAAGGTTATATTTAACAATGTGCAGTTTTTACACAATCTTCATTGGAGATGCTCTAAGTAGACTATCAACCCTTTTAGGTTTTGGCATGCAAATATAAACACCATTTGGCTATAGTGTCTGTTGTCAAATTGTACTAATTTTGGAAGTATATTGATGTAATTGTGATGTCATCAGGCAAGTCAAGACTGAAGACCAGAGATCTTGAGTGGTACTTTTTCAGCATGCTTGATAAGAAGTATGGGAATGGTGCAAGGACTAACCGGGCAACTGAAAAAGGGTATTGGAAGACTACCGGAAAGGACAGAGGTGTTTATCATAGGTCTCACGTGGTGGGGATGAAGAAAACACTGGTCTATCACATTGGCCGTGCTCCAAAGGGGCAGAGGACTAATTGGGTGATGCATGAGTACAGACGTGTAGATGAGAAATCAAGTAAATCTGGACTTGTTCAGGTTTGCATCACAAGTTAATGTATATTTATCACATTTGAATGTGCTGCTTTTTTTGAACTTAAAGCTTCTCTTCTATCTTTTGAACGCACATCCCAATCAAGAGCGGAGAACAAACCTTGATCACTTTGGACAACATGTTCATTTTCCTGAGCAAAAACAATATGAGAAAGCCCCTTACATATATGATCATTTTCTAATTTCAATTCTTGATACTTCTCGGTGTGGTTTTCCCCACACCTTTCTCATTTTATTATATTTTTTTGTGTGGGGAAGGATGCATTTGTGTTATGCAGAGTATTTCAAAAAAGTGGGGCTGGGCCAAAGAATGGGGAACAGTATGGAGCACCTTTCATTGCGGAAGAATGGGAGATGGATGAGTCAGGAGCGGCCCCTAAGGCAGAGTTAGCTGAGGATTTTGGATTTCTGGATGGTATATGTTTGGATGGGGATGAACTTGAGCAGGTCTGAGCTCTCTTCTATATCCACATTTTATATTTACCCTCGGCTTAGCATAGCTCTTTTTGTTCTTATGCTTGCTGCAAGCATGGTTGTTGTCTAATGCAAGTTAATTTTCAAGTTAGTCACTTAAATTTATGTTCGTAGAATATATTCGTTCATAGAATATGCAGTTGAAAGTCGAAACTATTGGTCTCCCATTACAAATATTGTGCTTCACTCAGGGAGCTGTTTTTTCCCAAGGTGATCAAGTCATGATTATATACCAGTATTTCTTTATAATATATTAATATGATATGAAACAAATTAAGAAGTCTCATAGTATGGAGTAAAGGTATTGAACATTGCTCAGGTCTATTTAAGTGACTAACTACAATTACCACTTTTCTGCCTTTTTTAGCCTATATGTTTTTACGGAAATGTTATAATAGTGCCCGTTCACTTATCTTAATAGTTCGACTGTTTAATAGGAGAGAACTTTGTGGAAAAAGTACAATGCGAAATCACAATGTTAGTCCTTCTCTTCCATAAATCTAGCCTCTCAGTTGTTATAATTGATGATAGTCAATTAGTCCTTCATGTTTAAACCACCATTTAGCATGGTGGTCAGAGGGGGATTCTTGGCCACAGATTTTGCTGAGATCCTGTCTTGGATGTGAAAAAACATGTACTCTACTATTTAATATTGATGGAGTGGACAATGAAGGCCAAAGTTTACCAAAACTGAAAGACGTGTGCATTATATCCGATAATCTCAAACACCTAGACTCATTGGAGAACTTTAAGTAGGATTTTCCATTTAAATTTCTTGCGTTCTTGCTTGATATTAATATACTCTTTAATGCATTAAATCTGTTGGGGCACATATTGGGGCACATATTGGTCTTTATTTAGCACTCCCCCCATCCCAAAGAAAAGATCTTGGTTGGACTTGGCACAAAGTTTAAGGAAAGTGAAAATGTGTGAATGAAAGTGATGCAGAAGAGAGAGCTTTTGAGAAGGAAAGAGGCTGCTCTTATTGGGACATCCCTAAATGGAAATAATGAGTCTTTTTCTTGGGTCGGAGGGAGTAGTATTTCTAATATTTTAGTAACAAACAAAAACTGGAAAGCTAAAAGAGCGAAAGCTAGGGTGCTCAATTTTAATATACATTTATGGAAAAAAAATATCTCCGTCTTTCCCAATCTTGTTAATCAGTCTCTATACAGCATCTTGCTCCCCTATATTGTGGTGGATTAGTTATTTTTGAATTTTGCATGTGTTCTTACATCGAACTTTCTAGTAAAAAATGTATGACTGACATTGTCTCCTTTCGGGCCTCTAACACTTTGATCTCTAAGTAACAAACCATTATCACTTGCTTAATGGGATAAGTCGTAGCTGTTTATTACTCCAATATGAAATTTAATTGTAGCATCTAACTTTCTAGTAAAAAAATGTATGACTGACATTGTCTCCTTTCGGGCCTCTAACACTTTGATTTCTAAGAACAAACCATTATCACTTGCTTAATGGAATAAGTCGTAGCTGTTTATTACTTCAATATGAAGTTTAATTGTAGCATTTCCAATTTGATGTGGCGGATTCATTTTTTTGGGGTGTGGTCACTAAACTAATAGCTTTAGTAATTGAAAAATGTTAAAATACCTCTATATTGCCTATGGTAAAATTTAATTTTTCTTTTACTATATTTGACCAGATTCTTGGGGTAGACACTCCCTCAGATGGTGCTATGGCTCATGTGAACAATGGTACTGTCTACTTTGATAACTCGGCTGAACATGTTGAAGATATCCAGAATATCATAGTGAATGATGTTGAGCACCCTTGTGGGTCACAAAATTCTGATGAGCAAAGGTCCTATGATCAGCCAATTCATGATTTTGATCCTAAGTCTGCTGTCAAGCATGAATACATGGGTGAATCTAGCAATGACACAACCTCTGAAAATCTGGATAGCATTCTTAATGAACCACTCGTGGTTTCTACTGGCCAATTTCAGTTTAATGATGGAACATTCCTGGAAACCAATGATCTCTCAAATCCTGTTAAGGCAGATAATTCAGGTTTTGAAATGCTGGAGGAATACCTTAATTTTTGTGATGCCACCGATGATTTCCAGGACATACTATTTGATCCTGCGATGTTGGCGGGGAGTGATGAATTTCTTGGAGAACCACCGTCATTTGTTAATACGGTAAGATGCCCATTGAAATTATAGGTTAATCACATCTACCTTCATAGAGAACTGGATTGAAGTGCTAAATGACTTTTCAGGCTTTTGAAAATCACAAATAAGTCCTTTTCAGACTTAAGAAACTAAAGATAAATTACCCTTTTTATGTCCTGAACATTCTCTTTTAGAGAGAGCTTTAAATATTCTTGACAATAAGATGCACTCAAAACAACCAAATTCAATACAAAGATGCACATTTCTTGTTAATGTCATCCTATCATTACATTATATAATCTGTCAATGTTAAAAAGGGCTGTTTGCTGAAAATCTGACTAGCCAAGGGGCTTCATTGTTATTTTCATGGACCTCAAAGGTCATTTTGCAATTTGATCAAACCTCTGGAATGTAGGTGCAATTAATTTGATGTCATTATGTTTTGCTTTCTTTAGCATTGTGTTCCTAAGCATTGCAGCTGAACTCGTTGCTTTCTTCTGCACAGGATGCATGCGAAGCTGCTAGAACTGCGATTTCACCCAATGAGAAGTCCCTTGGTGATGAGCATAAAATACCTGATATTCCGGCATTTTCAAAGCCCGCCCTTACCAAATTGGGGTCAGGTAGGATAGATGTTTTTCCATCTCAATGTTCAGGCTGTCTTAAGCTTATATTCCACCTTCCATTTAGAGGGTGGTTTGTCAAAAAAAATTTTAAACTAGTGTTTTAAGAATCATAATAATCAGATTTTGTTATGTGAGGGGAATTAACTAATTCAAGAGTTCGACATTGATTATATGGTAGGTTATAAATTAAATATATATCAGACTTGGGTTTTTTGGCTGTCTCAACACCTTTTGTATCCAAATGGTTGTTTGGTAAAAGGAAAAACTTTTGTAGGTTGTGCTACCAGGTAAAACAACTTAAAAGGCATACCACCAATTCTTTGTAAACTTAATAGTCATTTATAATTCTCAATAAGCAGCTCCATACCAAAAATTGTAAGTTCTTAGCGACTTTATATATAAATTATGAAAATGAAAAGTTCATCCACACCATGATTCAGTACTTTTTATTCACAGTTTACCACTGTCTTAGACCAAAATAGGCTCCATCAAGTCATGGATAGAGGGAAACAAAAAAAACTAGAAGCAGAAATGATGACGTTGATAATCAGAATCCACATTAACTGTTGTTTCTCTTCTTGATGATGATGATGCAGAATACAGACAACATCCATTCATCAAGCAGGCAAGTCAAATGTTGGGCAACATCCCTGCTCCTCCAGCATTTGCGTCAGAGTTCCCAAAGGGTGCGGCTGCAGCAGCACTGGTCACTGGAGCATCAAGTTCGGTCCACGTTACTGCCGGTTTGATACAAATAAGGGACCTCACTCTCCTCTGTGGCAGCAAGCAGCACGCCGGGCAGGATTACAATTTCATCCTTTCTTTTGGCAGCTTGGAACCAGGAGTCAACCGTCGTCACGAAAAGCCCTCATCAACAGTATCTTCTGCCCTTGGAGGTTGGTTCTTCTCTCTCTTCTTCTGGGTCATAATGCTTCTTTCCATTTCTATCAAGATCGCGACCTACGTCTACGCACAGTAAGGTTAAACTGGTAAAAGGCTCCATTTCATCGCCATCATCAGGCAACTTTGGAAGTCTCGTAGTTAGTTACTCTCAAAGGCACATCTGTTTCGGGGTGTGTTGGATGTTGGATATTAAACTGTGCCCTCCCTCCCCTCCATTGCAATTTTACTATTTATTACCTCATCTCACTGACTGACTCATGATGATTTAACTTTGGTATAGTTGTTGGTATAATTATCGTTAACATAAACTTGGTATACAAATAGAACTCGGCTCGTTCTATATTTTACCCTCTCTAGTTCATCACTTTTATCGCATGGCGTTTGGAATTACACTGAGTTAATGAATGCTAATTACTATGTGTGTTGTGCTGTATTGTGGATTAGTATAAATAATTAGTGTTCCTTCAATTTTTATTAATTCATGGGAAGGGCCAACTCACAATTTTTGCATTACAGTTCTATCTCTTGGCTTCTAAATTTTAACTTTTACAGTGAAACTTTTTTGCCAAAAAATTACTCCTAGGTGACTTGAGTTTTGGAGTAACAACTCAATGGTCCCTTCTACTTTTAGAAATGCTCAAGGGCTCTTAAAACTAGTGTGAAAACTGAGGGTATATTCTGGTAATGGCACAACAAAAAGATATTGAAATGTCTCTTTGTTTTCAATTATTTCTTTTTGGGTTGTCCCAGAGTATTTGTCCATATTCTTTTTAAGGAAATAAAAATGTGATAAAAAAGTCTATTATGCCCTCCGTTATTGCTCCTTTGCAAAGACTTCAACCTCGAAAGGCCATAAATGATAATCCCAAATCGCAATCTTAGATCATCATCATTCGAAAATCGGAGCCTTATAATGGCAGATGGATGTTTTCTCCGACGGTGCGCCGGAGCAATATGTTTTCTCCCTTCTCAAAATTTACGTTTCTGATGTCAAAGTATTTTCTCAAATCTTAGATGTGAACATATCTTGTCCGAGTTTTTGATAGTTGGGGATGGACGGTCTAAGTTTTTTCATTTTAAAATGGCATGGGTGGTGGCAAATTGGAGCCAGACGGTGGCAAACTGGAGATGGTAGGTGGTCTTGAAGGTGGCGGAATGAAGCGTGACGGTGGAGGACGCCGAAGAAAAGGATAGATTTGGGGACGGCGGCGACAGAGGGATACTTGCCTGGGTAGTCTAGGGGTAATTGGGTCCTTTTACTCATTACCTTGGTTTTTTTATCCAAAACGAAAGTGGACGATGATGAGCTAAACACTTATTTTAAGGGCCTTTGGATGTTTGAAAAAAACAAGAGGACCTTAGAGTTGTCCCAAAACTCATCGCCTATGAGTAATTTTTTAACATGTTTAATTCTTTCTAGTTTTTTTTTTAATTTTCTTCAATATTGTTTTGTTTATTTTTTTTATATTCTCCTTATTCATTCCAGTTTCTTTTAATTTATTTTAATTTTTTTTGAATTTCTTTCGAATTCTTTCAACATTTTTAATCTCTTCCAACAATGATTTGAAAACAATTTATGTATATACTATTATTATTATTATTATTTCAACTATTATTATTATTATTAAAATTAAAATTGGGTAAATTAGGTATTGGGTATTATTATTAAAATTGGGTATTATTTCAACTATATAAATACAAATTATTTAATGTGTGTATAATTGGGTATTTTTAACAATATAAACAACCTCTAACTAAAAAATTTCAAATGCAGTGATGTTTTTGAGGTGAGATATATTTTTTAGCAAGCAAACATTGAACTATTTATGCATATTATTTTCTTACAATTGATATCAATAGAAAACATTACCTTTTTGTTACAAAGACATGAGTTAGAAATATGCATGTTAAGATATTAATGTTAAAGAAAATAACATGGACGTGTTACCCAATTATAACCAAATATGATTTGAAACAATTAAAAAAATTAATTTAATAAAAAACACAAAATTAAGATATACTAATACTAACTTGACATTTTAAATTAATTTTAGTTCTTTCTGCTTCCAACGTCCAAATTTGTTTTTCTCCGCCAACATGGTGACTTGTTCGTTAACTTGAACAACAATTTTTTTTCAACAAAAAAAGGAAAAAAAACATAAATTATTTTTAGAAATATAAAAAGGCAAAATTAATCTGGAACTGGAGAGGTGTGTATGAATAAAGTTTTCGGATTGGATGGCTGATAAAGGTTAGTTGAAAGATTAAAACACATGGTACAAAGTACAAACACATGGTCTAATGACAATTCATATTCTGCAAAATGTGTTTTGAGTGACTAATGGTAAAATCCACATTCCCAAATCTCAAATCCAGATTAATACTCAGTCAAGCAAGTGAACTGGTGGTGGTTATTGCCTCCCTCCCTATTCGCGTTCATCTGCTGCATCTTCAACTTCTTCGTCCTCCGGCACCCCACGGAGATAGAGGACATTATTACATCTGGATGTACGAGCAGCAAAAGAACGGACATTAGAAAGATTAATAGACAAGAAAGCCCGAACGTAATTAAGGCCTTGTTTGGGAACCACGTTTTGGATTGTTCTTTAATGGTGCGTGTCAACTTCTGAAAACGAAAATGCAAGTTGTTGCCAAACGGGTACTATATCTTTCATAGCATATTGTGTCTACTACTCCTACTCATTACAATATCAAACAAGGGTGAAGAGGAAAATGATGAAATCATTCTTATGGACACTGGTATGAATAATATAACAAAAATAGGACTAGTAATTGTGATACTGGCGATGGTAGCAATAATAATAATGATACTCGTAATAACAAAAACAAATGGAAATATACCTGATCAGGATCTCTCCGAGATTTCCAGTGAAAACACCATCAATATACTCTTCTGCATTTCCCAGCTGGAAAAATTGTGCGAATAAATGGTCACGCATAAGTTTGTACGAAATGGAAAATTATTAGCGATAAGCAATGTCAAACTGGTATATATGAATCAACAAGTGTGAAAAATACCTGTAAGTTCATGTATGAATCTACAGCAATAAGAAACCCTGGTCAAGGAAAGACAATAAAAGAAACAAACTGTCTTAAACCACTCACGAATCACCTTTTAATGGCAAATAAAAGACATATTTATCAATGATATATAGGAGCAAAGCAGATGATAAGAAGAAAAGTTGCACCTTTGTACTCCATTCCCCACTTTAGTTTCGCAATAACTGCCTTCCCAGTCAAATTGTTTATGAAGGGTTTGGGATTCACTGGTACAGTCTGAAAAAGAACACCACACAATAAGAATCTTCAAAAGCAGAATTTCAAATTTTACAAACAGTTACAACTTCAGTGGAAAGACGCAACTTCTTATGCAGAGCAAGAAAAAGTCAAGTTCATTTTATTTATGTTCAAACACATACACACTCTTGCACTACTAAGACACACACATTGCCTTCTTGTAATATGCAAATAATTCCGACTAGTGGGACGGGAAGAGATTCAACTTGGATAATACTCCCTCGGCTAATTCCCGTTGTCACAAACTTAGTGGGACAGGAAGAGATTCAACCTAATGTAATTCTCAACAAGATGCCAAAACATCTAAAATATTTAAAATCCAAATCAATGAAGAATTTTTCACTCTGTACTCCCAAACTAAAAATCCAAACATAAAAACTTCGATTCTATATGTTTTATGTAATAGATAATATTAAAAACTAAAATACAGATATCTTGATGTACTCCATATTAGATACTCCAAATATATACAAAAAAAGAAGACAAGGCGAAAACACACATTTTATCATTTTAGTGAATAAAAATGTGCGGCCAAATTAATCTACGAATAATAAAATATATGAAATCGCGATTTTGAAAAAAACCAAAATAAACTCATCTGAGACATAAAAATAAGATCTATAGAGCGGTCTTTCATACAAATCTTCAAAAATATAGTGCGTATAAGGATAAAAGATGTGTGGAGCGGCATTTCAGATATTGAGTTTCTCACATTGACTGATTGACAACATATCGAGTTTTTCACATTAGATTTAGAAATTCATAAATGATGAAACAAGACACAATCTTTTATTCGGAACATTTAAAGGAGACATACCTGCATGTTGAAGGATGATGCTGAAGGTAACTAGAGTGTCTCGGCTTCCGTGTTTACCTGCGCTTGGAATTTACGTAGGACTGTAAACAAATTGAATCAAATCAAATAATATAAAAACATATTCATATTCAGATAAAGGTACTACTATTGATGTTCATATTCATATTCATATTTTTATTTGATTAAAAAAAACTGTATTCGTATTCGAATAAGTTATTAATTTAAATATTCAACTCATATTTGGAATTTGAAATTCCATATTTAATTCTCATGTTTCATTACATGTACTAAAAAATCACTATCCATAAAGTAGAACATATTATTAAACAACTAAATCCATATTCATAATGGACTATAAAAAGTTAAAAACAATGTTAAATCCATATTGCCAAAAAATGACAATAACACAAGTAACAAAGTACATGAGAACCAAATATTTAAATCAAACGTACAAATATATTCTTAATTGACAAAAACCCAAATGAACCCTCTATCTTATCTTACTATATACAAAGGCCAAAGAGCTGGGAACCATGTTCTTGCCCAAACACTGTTCTACAGTAACGAGCCTAATTTTGGACTACAATACTGTACGGGAGGAGATCATAAATTATGGCCCAAATTCAGCCCATGACCCAAAAGTTAGCCCTAATATACATCACATAGCTACAATGAGAGTATTATAAATACACATCATAAGTTTCTCTTTCCCTCTACATCAATCTTCCCTGTTCTCACAACTTCTCTACTTTTCATTCAATAATACCACTCATATAAATGGCAGGCCTTGGGCAATGGTGTTTTCTCAAAGTAAACAACAAGAAACGTCATTGTGCTATTAGAGTCCGTGTAGTCCGGTCCTTCCGAAGTCTACTGTTTGCTTCTTGAGGGGATACATTTGAGCTTCTTTTTCATGAAAAATATAGAAAATTATTCTTAAGACTGAGAACAAAAAAGAAGATTAAAAAATTAAATTATACAACTAAAATTTGATATAAGAAAAAGTACTGCAAATTAAACTACATATAAGACAAAAGTATCACAAGAAAAAATACTGCAAAGAAAAAATACTGCAAATTAAAATCATTCTCATATATGTATAAATCCAAATTGAACCAAAGAAAATCTAAATTGTTTCGTTTGTATCACTCTCTGAAATTGGGGATGTCAATATTCCTATCCAGCGCATTCATATATACACACACACACACACACATATATATATGTATGTATGTATAAAAATTCAGAATATATACTTCCCGAAAAGAAATTGAATGATCTATGTATGTGTTATAACAGATCTTAATAAAAAAAACTATTAAATCAAAACAAAAGCAAAACCATCCAAAAAATTGATTGACTAAAAATATCAATAGCACATAAAGCCAGTTATGCATCGAAGAAAAGAATCGGCATTTAGGGAAATCAACAGATATGTTTAAAAATCATGAACGAAAATATAGGGGAGAGAGAGAGAGAGATACGCACGGTCGAGGAAGATAGGGTTGAAGCGGCGGAAATGATTTTTAGGTTTGGATAGGGTAGGGGTGTAAATGGATAATATTCGTTTCGGATGTATTATAACCGTATCCGAATCCAATTAGCAAAACCGTTATCCGAATCCGCATCCGTATCCGACGGATGTCTACAATAGTAAATCTGAATCCGAATACGGCGGATACGGATGCAGATTCGAATATATCCGAATCCAATGAAGCATCCGAATTCTAAAAACATCGGAGTCCAAATCCGTATCTAGATTCGATAAAACATCCAATTCGCAAGGAAAAACTGTATCTGTATTTGAAAATAACATCCGTCCAAATGTCCGAATATGTAATCTGAAAATCTAAAATCAACCAAGCACAACCAATAACCTTAAACCCTTAACCAAGTTTCAGAACAAAAAACAGTCAAATTCGAATGCATTTCCAAGGAATACAGTCAAACGAAATGCATTTACACTATGTTTGGCTCAAGGATTTTGGAAGGAAAAGAAAAGAAAATGGTTTTCTCTCATTTTTCTCACCGAAAGGGAAGGAACTTGGTTTTCCCTCCACTTGGTACATTTTGCCTCCTCATTTTCTTTTCCTTCCACTTTTCCTTTCTTTTCCCCTCAAGAAAAATGGTTTTCCACTTCATTTTCTTTTCTTTTCCCTTTCAAATTCCTTGAACCAAACATAGTGTTAATTTTTCGAATTCGAATTGAGTAACAAAAAAAGAAAAATCAAAGGAACAATCTATCTCTTAACAAAGCTAAAAGCAAAAAAAGAAACTGTTAAAATTGCAAGTCGCACAACTGGGAATAAAATTGTGTTTTCCTTTTTATAATAATAATAATAATTACAATTATTCTTGAAGTCACTGTAATGAAACAAAAAATATGCACGAGTGTCGAGAGCACCATCACTTCATCTTCATACAGTGTTAACCCTACACTCGGAAGAGTCTAAAAAAACAAATAATAATAAAAATAAAAACAATATTAATAACAATAACAAAAATGATAATAATTATAATAATAATAACGGTGGGGTTCTAGTTGGAGTACAACAGTAGCGGCGATTTCTTTTTTTCATAGTGGCGCTGATTCTAAAATCAAATGAACAATTCGAGTAAAACAACAGTGGCGATTTTCATTGAGGCGTTGATTCTAAAATAAAAGGAAAATTGAGAGTTCGTACCTAAAATCAAAGAAAAGAGTAGATGACGATGCTAAGGATTGAGGTGATGCGCTGAAGAGTGTAGCCGCAGACTCGCTCGCTGGTCGGTGGTCGCTGCCCGCTCGTCGCTGGATCCGGAGAATCGCTGAGGAAGACGCTGGGTCGGTTGGTCGCTGATCCGGAAAAAAAAAGCGTTAGGTCTTTAGGTTTAATCAATACTCAGGTCTCTCTCAATAGTGGTCCATGATCAAGGAATCAAGATTTGGTTTTGGGCCATTTAGGACTTAGTGGGCTGGGTAGAAGAAATTAGAAAACTAGGAGTATACATAAAAATATTAATTACTCTAAACTACGGATAACTTTTTATTACTTATATTCGGTATAACGGATTGAATAATCGAATATACGGATATATAAACGGATGTATACACGGATCGGATCTATAATTACCAAATTCGCATCCGTTTATCAATGGGATGTGCTTAATCCGACACGGATTATATCCGTTTAAAGCGAATGTGGATTTTTTCCATTTAAACGAATACAGATGCGGACGGTAATCGGATTTCAGTTATCCATTTACAGCCCTACTGCGGTCGAGGAAGATAGAGTTGAAGCGGCGGAAATGATTTTTATGTTTGGAAAGCAACTTTTATATGACACGAGGTTGGGCCAAAAAAATAATTTGGGCCGGAAAAAGTTTGAGTTATTGCCTCTTATATATTATCATCTCCTTCCCTAAGTTTATGTCCAAATTTGACTTTTTTTGTCAATTATCTTCAACATTTGATCTTTGATTAAATAAAATATAAATTGTATAATAATTAAATAGATCAATATTTTGACAATATTTGATATAATAAATCTAATAAAACTATTTTTGTATCAATATCTAATACCATTTTTAAATTTAAGGTCAAAACTTACCAATTTTGACGGAAAAAAATCAAATGTAGACAAATATTTAATGACGGAGTGAATATATTTATTGGTTTAGTATTTACTAGCCCGAAAAAACATGGATGAATTATATGAACATACTTTACTTCTTCCGTCTCAAATGAAATTGCATGTGAACTATTCTCATAGTCAAACTTCATTCACTATCCTTTGTTATTTGTGCAAGTAATTTGATCCAATAATATAGTTATGTCACCATTACTTTTGTAGATTTTTTTAATTTAGATTTAAAATATGTAATTTTATTTTTTAACTCTAGATCTTTTTTCATATAAAATGATTTGAAAATAATTTCAGTCAAATATTGTAAATTGAAACGAGTGGTTTAAATTATCAAGAATAGAGTAACTTATTTAAAGAATTTGAGTCTCTCTTCATACTAAAATTAACTTCCCGTTTGATTTTTTACAGTTACGAATATTATAATTCGACTATTAAAACATTTTCTAATATAAACCTATATTATGTTCAAAATAAAATTATTAAGTTGAGTTTAAGAAATTTATCTAGAAAAAACAAAATGTAAAGTAATTTTAGGACATAGTACGGAGGGGTTGGGAGCATTGGGCCATAATTTATGATCTCTTCCTGTCCAGCTTGCCCAACATGAGTATATTAAACTCTCGATATTAATTATTTTTTCAAATGACTAACAAAAATTAAAAAAATTAGATTTAATTTTGTACATAATAAAAGCCAACTTAATTTAGAGTTAAAAAAAAGTAAGGAGGGGTTGGGAGTAGTTATTAGCACTAGGGCTGTTCACATTTAGGTCCGGACCGAAAAAACCGACCGAACCGGACCGTTAGGTCCAGACCGAACCCGGACCGAATGAATTTCGGGTCGGTCTTCGGTCCAGAAAATTTAGACATTCGGGTTTCGGTCCGGTCCGGTCCAAACCCGAAATGATTTAGGTCCGGACCGATTGGACCGGTTGGACCTAATGACCCTACTGGACCTAAAAGACCTAAATACTAAAACTCTACTTTTTAAGTTTCGTATTACACTTTAATGCTCTATTTTAATAGATATTTTAATTTATTTAATTAAAAAGGTTTTTTATTAAGTACTTTTTTAAAAAATCTAAAAAAAACATTTCATATTTGTTTTTATGTTTCTACATTGAAATAGTTCATATTGTGTATTCATTTTAAGGTTGCATATTTTTTTTATTCATTTTCTATTTGAATGGTACAAAGTAAAAAGTCTAAAATATATTTAATTGATCAAAATAATTAAAAAAATATGTATTTTTTTCGGTCCAATCGGTCCGGACCGGTTCGGTCCTAAATATTTCGGTCCGGTCCGGTCCAAACCCGAGTAGATTTAGGTCCGGTCTTCGGTCCTTGAATTTACTCATTTCGGTCTTCGGTCCGGTCCGGGTCGGTCCGGTTCGGTCCGGTCTTAGACCGATGAACAGCCCTAATTAGCACACAGTTTTCCGTTGCATAGGTTGAGACATATATATATACTCCACCAGATAAAGTGAATTAATCACTTTATAACAACTCTCATCTCATTTGTTCTTTTGCATCCCAACTAATAACCAAACCCATTGGAATATTATAATTCATAAAGATTATTTTTTTTAGGTAATTCATTCTAACCAACCTTTTTAACGGAAGGATCGGAAAAAGGCAGATCACATGATGTATTTAATTACCTTTACATTCGAATTTTTTAGAAATTGTACGATTTAATTCTGAACATTAAAAAGTGCACCAAATATGTACCCCTGTTCGGAAATTGCATTGTATACCCCTGAATTTTTAAATAAAGATGATAACTTTTGGGAAGGGTACTTTGGGGATTTCACAAAGACCAGATGAGTCATACTCTCAATTCCCGTGCGTGGGAGCAACACACTCCCTATCTTAGATTTTAGGACCAACGGTACAACATTTTAAATTTGTTTAGAGATATATATTTGGTGCATTTTTTAATGTTCAGTGGTAAATTATGCAATTTCTGAAAAGTTCAAAGGTAAACGGTATACTTTTTAATGCTCAGGGGTAAACGATGTACTTTTAAAAAAGTTCAGAGATAAACGATGCACTTTTTCGTTCTTATATATACACGGATCGGAGTAAGTTGAGTTGCATGCTTGGATTGTTGTATAAGAATTGAAGATCAAGCTATATAGCTAATTATTATTTTAATTAATTAGTTAAGATACCACAAAACAAGTTTCATGTGTCTTTAATTATTGTCATCATCATTAATTATTATTATATACACTTCCTCCCTCATTTAATTATTCACTTTATATTCAGATTAAATTCAAATTAAGTTATTGCAATGATATAGTCCACGAGTTTAAAACTTTGTTTTTTAAATTTTATTTTATGTACGTAATTTAATTAAAATTAAATCGGTGAAGCCTTGCACGTACATAAACACATGAAATGGGAACATACTAATTTGAAAGTGATGAAAGTGAGGGACAATTATATTATTATTCTAATTAATTATTATATTTATGGACATTATTATATAATTGTTCTAAGGTGTAATGGCATACGAGTGTAAGCACATGTAGCAGCATCATGCATTATCATATTCCAGCTGGTCATTACATGCTCATGTATGTCTCATCATGCTTTTCTTTCTTTCTTATTACTTTAATATTATAATATATGCAAAAATGAGATTTTTTTTTATAATTAAAAATTGTTAGAATTTTTGGACATTTAATTTGATCGGGATTAAGTGATCGATCACTTTATTTGGACATAAATATCAATGAAGCTTAACGGAGATTTTGACTATTGTTTGACGGACAAGTATTCTCCTGTCAAACAAACATTTTTATAAATTTTACGCCAAAAATGGTAAAAAAGTGAATGAAAAATTAATCCTTCATGTTGACCCGATGATTAAAGAAATGGTGTGAGTTTGTGGGATTTTGTCCAACATTTGAACAAGCTCACTAAGGAGAAAGCTCACGTGAGACCTCAAAGGGATCCCGAGGTCATGTATAAGATATATAGACCTTCAAGTTATAGCTCATTCTCTAAATCCCAACAATAAGCCCAAAATACGTACTCCCTTCGTCCCAAAATATTTGTAACATTTGCTTTTTCAGCAGTCGCGGGAAGTTTTGTTTATTTCTACATTTTCATTGGTTATTTGATAAAATAAAATATTCTTGACACCTCTTATTTCGAAAAACTTTTCATGTAATTTTTTGATATGTAAATTTTATTTTTTATTTCTATACCAATATGTAAATAAAATGAATTGAAAAAACTTGATATTTTACCTCGGGAATACAAATGTGGCAAATATTTAGGGACGGGGGAAGTATATATTATGAGACAAATTAAAGCGAGATAGGCTCGTGATTCGAACCGTTCTGGACCATTTAGATATAATAACACGACTAGATATGAAATAGTGTAAAACTCGAACCATTTCGACTCGTGCCATCTCTGATCATTGTTAGAATGTACTCTCTCCGTCCCAAAAAGAAGGTTACGTTTCATTTATTGTCCATCACAAAAAAACACTTCTACCCACAACTAAAATGACTAAAAATTACCACATTTACTATTTATTGTGGGTAAAAGTCATTTCGAAAGTTTTTTTGGTATTTAAGACGAGATAGAAGTTTTTTATGGGATGTACAAAAAATGAAACCTATTTTCTATGGTGGGAGTACATGAGTGAGACTCATAGATGACGTGAGATTGGCCAGATCCCATGTAATTATGTAAACACTAAGTTTATTACTATTTGAATAAGAGGTAAAACTATTGAATTTCTGTTGTGGATATATTTTAGATTGAACTTTATTGAACAGGTAAAACTAATATTAAAAAATTATAGTATAAAAAAACTGTCACCATTTTAAATAAATCCAAACAAGGTTTTTCAAAAAGAAAATTAAAACAAAAGCATTCAACAAAGAGCATCGATCTAACTTTCTTCATCACTCTTTTCAACACTTCCTCGATCATGATCTTTAACAACTGGAAGTTATTGCCGGCCTATATACACCCATGACCCATCTTTCTAGCCTTCATTTTTTTTACTGTATTTATTACAAAGAAACTTAAATGGGTGGCACAGTTGGCAAAAACAAGGAGTACCAAGAAGGTAGATCCGATCGAGCTCGATTTCTAGCAACTGTACTAGCTAGGTGCATGTTTCACTCTTTATCGTCAATCTGCGATCACAGTCTAATTTAAATTCTCTCACCGACCCTCCGGCCAGGTCTGAGGGACTATTGGAATGAGGCTCATCCATCTTTTACAAAGAAACTTTTGTGCTTGAGTATAAGTATAAAATCTAGGCCTGGCAAAGCGGTCGGTCGGGTTCGGTATTATCGGGTTTGGGTTATTACAGATTCAGGTCACTTCGGATCTAAGAGTGCTTGTTCATGACCCAGAGTTATCGGTTGGGGCTGACCCAACGAGTTAAAAAGCGTATTTAAAAATTAAAAATGTTGATATTTAGAAATTAAGTGATCAACACATTATTCAAAACAAATAATAAAATCATAAAAGTTTACAGGTCTACTTGCAGCATACCAAAAAAATTGCAATACACCCAAAATCAGCTTTTTGGAAATGGGGTACTATTTTTCTTTTTCTTTTATTTTTTCATAAAGACAAGAAAATTTTTTTGTATTTGAAATAATGAAAATTTGTTTTTCAAAAGTTAAAACTTTATCTTTATAAAAGTTTTAAAAAATAAAAAATATTTGTTTTTGAAGTAAAAAATTCAATGTATACTTCATTTGTCAATTTAAATATTTAATTTTTTTAGTCTAAAAAGATTTTATTTTTATGAATATGTCGAGACCAAATCAGTACTGAGTAATATTCTTTTAATATATACTCCCTTATTAAACCTCACCTACCTCATTTAATACACTCCACCTATTTTCATTAAGGGTATTATAGTAAACTTTCACCTTTTTCAACTCTCCTTAAAAACCATAGAAAAAGTCAAAACGAGAAGAACTTAGGGGGACGGAGGGGGTAGTTAATTATACATCAATAACATTTTTTGGACCGATACGCAAACAATTTCCTTCATGACTTAATTTTCCCTATTTTATAAAAGTATTTTTTCATATACTTTTCTTTTTCTTTATTTTCTTTTCTATTTTATTTTTTCTTTTATTCTAATTTTGATTTTTAAAAAAACGGTGTAAAATTATTTTTTTTGAAAAAAGGGGAAAATAATAAATAAAGAGACCATAAGATTAACAGAAAATGAGAAATAAGCTTTAGTGTAAAAAGAGAATGTTTCATTGAATTTTGTATCATGATCTGAAAATGAATCAATAAAGAGCTCATTCGGGAAAAAAATGTTTAATTTGAGACAGATGAAGTATACATTAATTCTTTTTATTTAGTTTATTTTTTATTGCAACCACGAAAAACTTTTATTATTAAAACATCATAAAAAATAATTTTTAAAAATAAATTAAAAAGTATTTATGAAAAACATAGAAGAAAAGAGAAAAACAATAAAGAAAAAACGAGAGGGGTGTTGGTGTCCATTTCCAAAACCATAGTGAACAACGTAGCTACTCACCTAATATTTGAAGGATATTTTAGTCTAGAGCGACACTGGTGTGGCAAGGTGTGTGCAAGAATTTTGAAACCGTTGTCCCGACCTGAAATATCCCGGTCCCGTCTCTATAATGTCTTATTTTGTTAGGAATGATAAAATTTTGTCTCGAACCCGTTCCAATCGTTTTAAAATATGACAGGATCGGGGCATATAAATATTTTCTCATTCCATCCCGTTGTCCCGTAAATATCTATTCATTTATTTATATAATGATATAACAAAAAAAAGTATGCCAATTATTTATTTTCCCAATAGTATAGATATAAAAAATATCCAAATTTAAATATTCTAAAAAAAATAGACTAGCACTGAAACATCTAAAAATTCTCATCGTTCTAACTCGACCTATCCCAACTTGTGGCTCATAGCTTTTATGAAGTTTATAGTCGTTACTTTTGATGTATGTTGTAATATTTTTTCATATGTTCTTATTCTTTTTGCTTTTTTAAAACATTCTAAATAAATACTCCATCATTTTTTCATTACTTTGCAAGTTAAAGTGGGTTACCTCCCCCTTATGTAATTTATATTTTGAGAAATTTATTTAAATAGCACTAAAACATAATGATTTTCTCCAAATAGAACCACATGTGTTTTTCTTTCCAATGTAGCACTTTTAGTCATTATGCATTAGTCATTATTCAAGCAAATATTTGTCATCACATGACATTATGGACATTATTAAGTGTTATTTAGGGAATAAAACAATTTAATTGCTATTTAAGGAAATGACTTAAGTTTTAATGCTATTTAGTGCAAATATTTCTTATGAATAAATACTACCTACATTATAATAAGTCAATAACATAAAAGAAATATGTGTAATTAGATTTATATTTCCGTCCCTAAATATTTGCTACACTGGTATTCTCGAGGCAAAATATCAAGTTTTTTCAATTCATTTTATTTACATATTGGTATAGAAATAAAAAATAAAATTTACATATAAAAAACTACATGAAAAGTTCTTCGAAATAAGATGTGTCAAGAATATTTTATTTTATCAAATAACCAATGAAAATGTAGAAATAAATAAAAGTTTCTGCGACTGCTGAAAAAACAAACGTTACAAATATTTAGGGACGGAGGGAGTAGTAAATTACCGAGCTCTTCATCTTCTTCTTCTTCATCAAAAAGGAAAAATAAAAAAAAAAGCAAATAACTAACCGCATCTACCTTTCTTCATCTTCTTCAGCTCTCCTCCTTTTCCACACTTCTCCCATTTTTTAATGTAGAAAGAACGCATTTTTAGGTATCTGTCTTGCCTTTGCAGTTTCATGTCTACTCTTTTTTTAATGTTTATACTTACTTTAATTAAATACGGAATAGCTGAATCCATCGGATCACACGTCTCAATTCATTCATCAAATAATTCATTCGATCATTTATTAAATATAATTATTACAGATAAAAAAGAAAGGAAAAAAAAATAAGAAACATGTTCGCTACATACATGATGATCAAAACAGGGCCAAATTGATTGAATATGTAGAAATTTACTGATCGTGGAAATTAAAAATCCCCCCTTTTTTCTTTCTTTCTTTCTTTCTTTGGATTCTTTAATTTACAGCGCACGAGTTCTCTTGTTGGAAGAATCAAGATTGGGATGATGGTGGTGGTGATGGCGATGAACAAGAAGGAAGAAAGATTGAATGTCTTCTCCGCCGTCGATCTCGAAGAATTTGAGCTTTCTCTTGCAGGGAGGCGCCGCCCTTCTCTGCTTCTTCGGCGCCGGCGGGCAGTCGGTCGTTTTCGGGATCGAATTCCGGGGAGAATTCGGCGTCCGGCACAATTCCTCTTCTCCTCCTCGATCGCCGCCGGCAACGCCGCCGCAATTCTGATCCTCCTCCGCCCGAATTTGCTCTGAGGACCGCACTCCCGTTCTGAATTCTTGATTCCCCGGCGAGACTTGGCAGGATTCTCGATTCCCCGTGGAAACAGGGCTGGGTTCTCGATTTCCCGGCAAGACAGGGCCGGGTTCTGGAATTCCCGGCGAGACTTGGGTGGATTCTTTGGTTTCCGGCGAGAGTTGCCGGAGGTCTAGATCTACGGACATGGCGGTTTGCCGGAGGGGGTGGCGGAGGAGAGAAGGAGATCGGTAAGAACGTGTTTGGGTGAATATAAAAATAGTAATAGGAGCATAGCATATGCGGTGTATATAGGCGGCCAAGTGCAAAAAGGAGGGAATTTAGAGAGAGAGAGAGAGAGAGGCGTGCATATGAAGGAAAAACAGTGAAGAGGGGTAGTTTGGGGATTTGGTATTAGAGACAACTTTGTGTTTTCTGTTTTGGAAGTAAAAAAAAAAAGAAAATCTAAAATTATTTTTTGTTTTCTTTTGTTTGTTTTCAAATTTTGCAAATAGTTTTGCAATTGGAAATTGCTGTTTTGTGTACACAGTGCTCGTTTGGTGAAACTCATAATAATGATGAGACTTGTTGATTAATCTAATTCTATAATTATTGAACCTGTAATTTGAAATGTGCTAAATTATTAATCTAAATTATTGTCATTATGCCTAGTAAAACTATTCCCTCCCACCTATAACATTGGCGTGCATAAATCCTACGAAGTATTTTTTTTAAATCGAATTTTAATTTATTAGGTGTGTTGTTATGGTTAGGCAAGTGGTAATATAATGGGTATAACGCCCAGCGGCGTTAAGATCCTATTGACGCAGGGGCATCAAGCACCGCTCCTTCCCCCGTTATGGTCCTGTTAAAGTTGTTTTGTCAAATTTTTGACGCAGTTTGAAGGGTGAAATGGCCGTTGAAATCCCCCCCCCACCCCCACCCACAACGGCTATAATACCGTTACAAATAAAAAAAATTCTTTTTCTAATCAATTTTTTTAGAATTCAACACAAATACAAATCTCTTTCTATCTATCATCTTTTTTTAAAAAATATTATTCAAGTATTTTATTTATTTTTATCATGTATCCCTCTGGTTCCTCTCCGCTGGTCTCGAGCCAAACGAGTACGCGATGTGGCTATTCCGGATGTACGGGAATAATTCGTCGTTCTTCGAAACACAAACCTCGGTGAACCGGCCTCGAGGACCCGGAGTTGGTGAAGAGTTGGAAATAATGGAAACCGAACTTGATACGTTAACGGGCTTCAAACGTATGTATTACGAGAGAAAACAAAACGAGATCTCAAGGCTAAATATAATTTGCTTTAGTTTTTTAATTAATGTAATTTTTTAATTTAATGTTTTTTATTGAATGCAATTTTTCAATTAAATGTTCTTTTTTATTGAATGTAATTTTTCTATTTTATGAATTATTGTTATTTAAATTTAATTAATTAATTACCATTTATTCATTAATTTGAAAAATTGTGTATGAAAAAATATAAAAAGAAATGTTTGAAGCCCCATGGCTTCAAACTGATTTCTGTTGAATCTGTGAGGTAAATTAAAGCTGACGTGGCAAAGAGAGAAGGTTTGAAGTCATGGAATATATATATATATATATATATATATATATATATATATATATATATATATATATATATATATATATATATATATATATATATATATATATAT